GCTCCGGAGAGGCGCGTGGGTCCCGGGAGACGCATGGCTCGTGGGAGACGCATGGCTCGTGGGAGACGCATGGCTCGTGGGAAACGCATGGCTCGGGGGGGGGGGGGGCGCACGGCTCGTGGGTGACGCGCGGCTCGTGGTAGTCGCCTGGCTCCTGGAAGATCCATGGTTCCAACTATAGCTCCAGGGAGATGCATGGCTCCAGAGCAGAAGCGTAGCTCCAGGAAGACGCATGGTTCTCGGAAGACAAATGGCTTCAGAGACGCATCTTTTCGAAGGATGCACATGGACCCAAGCGTAATGGAAACCGAAACATAAAAGAACGGCCATATGGCTATGGCATACCAGCTGTTTGTGGGAAACTAACATAAACGCTACAGTAATGCAGGAAATAACTGACTGAAAAGAGAATTGGCCCACCCGTTTTTTGTTTTGTTTGGGGGGGGGGGGGGCAGCCCCTATCCTGTTGGCTCTAGTACGGAACACGGAATACGGACGCGGGACAGCACAGGTGTGCAATGATCACATGGGGGAAAGAGTCGCGGGAGACGCCCGGCTCCGAAGGGTCGTATGGCTTCAGAGGAGGGGAGGCATGGCTCCATGAGAGAGGCACGGCTTTACACAAGAGGGGTGAGCCTAGCGACGGCGCGCTGTTATCCAGGTGCTTGCTGTGCGAAATATGCAATACGGAGAGAAGCCGCCAAGACTACGGGAATAACATGGATAAAAGAGCAGACGGAATTGCCAGATGGGGATAAATGGTCGCAGAAGTCGGAAGTGCATTAATGCTAGGAGAGGCGTAAATTGATGGTGGGAAAGGTGTAAATTAATTAGAGATTTATGGGTGACGAGCGGGCGCATGACTGCAAAAGTTCATGAATGAAGGGGAGATGAATGGTACGGAGAAGCAATACCGAGTGCTGAGATGTTTAACTGAACGGCGTTTAAATACGCGACACGTGCGCAAATGGCACGTGACGAAATATCACGTGACTAAGACAAACGCGCGCCGCGAATGTGCACATGATCACGCGCGTCAGACGTGCATGAACAAGACGCGTAATTGCACGAGAGACAAACGACCGCCTGGAACACACCGACAGCGCCAGCGACCCGGCATAACCACGATCACATCCCAGCAACAGCCGCATCCCGCTCCATCTTCCCCCGGCGCCGTTTCTCTTCCCCTCTCGCCGCCGGCTTCGCGCCGCCCGGCCAGCGGCGCGACCGTTTTTATCGTCCGCCCGTGGCGCACACAATGGGCGATCGGAGATGCGGCAGGGCACTCATGGTGGCCGGCGATTGTATAGAGGATCACGCGTGTGATGGACGATCGCCCCCGCCGTCGCCGCGGAGAGAGAGGGACGGAGGGAGCGGGTGGAGAGAGGGGAGAGACGGCAGAGCGCAGGGAGAGCGTGGGGGAGGGATACGGCCGCTGATTTAAAATTGATTGAGGCAGAATCGCATCCCATCGCTGCAGTTTTATGAAGACGTTTGCCAGCGCGCAGGGAAGAAGAGAACGGAAAACGGAAGCCGAAAACAGTGAGCAAAATATCCATTCACAATTCCAAAAGGCTAATCGCAAATGCATTGTACGGATCTAACGACGCAGGAAAACATTGGCTTCACAACGAAACACGACGGCTAACACCATCCCTGCGAACCTAAGGAGCCAAATTCCTTCCGAGGAGGACACTAATAATGCATTTCATAAGTACAGCTGATACGAACTGGGAAGGAATTATTTAAAACCTTAAGTGAAAGTAAGGAGGCATTCTCAAGGCGGCATGCTGAACGATGTTTGATACTTCAAGCGGAATCATTCCACCCCAGCACAGCCACGAGAGGGCCCGCCACAATGCAATAACGAAGAAATCAATTGCATAGCTCACTCAAAGCGAGCTGTGCCACGCTCGCCTCTTTTGTTGGACTTTCATCGAGCGCACCAAATAAGTGAAGCCGGTTTCGTACACAGTGAGAAAAACATCCCGCGGATCAAATCAAATTTGCCGATTGCAAATGTTGCGGGCTCCCAGGGTAATAACGCACGTGCCGCGAAAAAAACAGCTGAAGCCAAGCTAAGTGACGACAATGCCGGTTTCAGAGCTCGAAATTCGATCGTAACGCCATCCACGAGCAGTAGATGACTTAACTTTTGAGCAGTTTTCGATGAACGACGCCGTGCTCTTTTCCTTAGTCTATTGGCGCAGAAGTGCGCCTCCTAAAATAAATACGCATGCAGGTCAAAGTCCGTCTCGAAATCTAGTTCGCCTGCTAAAATATGGGACCTGGGTCTCGCAAGGACTTCCAGCAAAACGAGCTCAAAGTTTTGAGCACGGGCGGTTTTTTGGCGCTACCACGTCAGCGTCACAAGATCACCAGCCGCATTAATTAGGCCGCCTCGATTACAGCACGAGGCTAGTTTGTCGGCACCGGCGCTGTTTACCTGTCGCTCAAGTTGAGTAAAGTCGCATTCAGGGCGTTAAGCACGTTATGCGGCATACAAGAACTCAGTCCAAGTCAGGTGCGAACACATAACAACATTGAAAAACGTAATGTTGGAAACAAGATGCTGCTTACGAAACACATCCTCTTCCGTAAATGTAGCACCGGCTAGGGCAAGCACTGATCACTTCCAATCGCCGTACAATGCAGTGGCAATCACAACGTTGTGAAACCCTGGCCTGCTGTACGAGTAGAAGATGTTGTGATGTGATGACGATGTGATGATGAATAGAAGATGTATGCACGTGCAAGCAGCATTTCGTTCGATAAAAATACGACGACAAAAATATGACGCAATGACCATGAGTAATGACGGCACCTCGTGGTTTCGTGCATTGCTGTCTCGCTGGAAAACCACCACGTCCACCTTAACAGATGCAAAAGAACTGTATGGTCCACAATCGTGAAGGTCTGCGGGACTTCCTGGTACCGGCAGCGAGCGCTCCGGCCGGACAATCTTTCAATTTCATTCCTCTACGACCCCTTCTTTTGCTTCTGCTTCTGCCTGAATGTTTCCAGTCACGGTGGGCCACGAGACGGAAGCGCAGGAGCTTACAGCGCACCCTCTCGGGAAGCCCGCTAATCACAACCGCGCGTATGTCTATCCCCGTTCTAACCACGAGCCGACCAAAAGCATACATCCCCGCCGCCTACACATGGAGGAGCTTCCTGTGAGATCATGGTTCTGGTCTGGGATGACGCAGATGGCCGCATTATGTCCCCCATTTCTTATCTTCCTCCCTAATGCCATGACACTAAACGGTCCTTTCAGGGCGAAAAATCGCTAAATCAACCGCAGCCAAAAAGGAAGCATGCATCCTGCTATTCGGCCATCAGCTGCGACGACCTCCAAATATTCCTGAACGCAGTATCGCACGGCTTAGCCTTTTTAAACAACGCACGCTCCATTTCGACGCGTTGGTCTGTCCGCTATTGATATGGACCAGGCTGTGATATATCACGGGAGACATTCTGGGAGCCGGACGCCATCTGACTGCACGCTGCAAAAACTATGCTGGCTCTTACGAACTGGCGTATAGCTTTTGGTTGGCTTCACTGCTTTCATGGTTGAACTCATTAATTTATTTTAATGGGTTTACAGGCTGCTTGATTTGTTGTTCATTTTCTTCTAAGAAGTCAATAACCGCGCATTCAATATCATCACTGTCACGTCTTCTAAGAAGTCAAGAACCCCGCATTCGATATTGTCACTGTCAACTTAACGCTGGAAAAATGCTTCGTAGTAAGCACCACGTCGAGCATTTCTGCTACCGCAGCCAATCTGCCACCCATGTGGTAGCATCTGTCACTGTCATTATCTTAACGTCATGCCATAAGTTTAGGTAAAGCAGTCGTCGAATCTTTTTGAGCGCTCGGCAAGAGCGATGAAAGAAGGTCTTCGGCGACAAAACACAATTCTGCTCTAAACATCAGCCACGCAGTTTACTGAGTTGTACGGCCCAGACCTCATATATATATATATATATATATATATATATATATATATATATATGATACCTTAGTGATGTGCCAAAGGACAATCGAAAATGGTGCCAGCTTTCACATTCGAGAAGCTTAAATTTAACCTTGGCACGAATCGATCATTGCTCTGCAGCACTACAGCTCTCGGCTGGGCGGACGCAGAGACCCTGCTCTGGATGGAGCCCACGCTGGGCCCTCATGCTCGCCCGCTCTGGATCAAACGTATACCGATCCTGGACCATGCGTGTGCCGATCTCTGGATCAGACGCGTACCAATCTCTGGATCAGACGTGTACCGATCCCTGGATCATACGTGTACCGATCCCTGGATCATACGTGTACCGATCTCTGGATCATGAGCGTACCCATCTCTGGATCAGACGTGTAGCGATCTCTGGATCAGTTGTGTACCGATCTCTGGATCATACGTGTACCGATCTCTGGATCATTGCGCGTGCTCATCTCTGGATCAGTCCTGCACCGACCTCGGGACCAGTCGGGTACCGATTTCTGGACCAGACGTGCACCAATCGTTAGATAAGACGCACAATGATCTCTGGACCATGCGTGTATTGATCTCTGGACCATACGTGTACTGATCTCTGGATCAGACGCGCACCGATCTCTGGGTCAAACGTATACATAAAACTCCGCCAATCTCCGAGAGCCATCGGTCCATACGGGGAACCCCGTCTCGCCCACATGAGGACCAAATTTCCGCCTGCTGCATCGGAAGCAGGCCAGAACACACCGTTTCTCGATAACTGCGCATGTCTTAAGATAAGTTCTGTGGAACCGGACATTCCCGACAGCCGCTCAAATTCTAAAAATATATTTATCAGGCTGTCCGGCGCGCGTCGCGGCAAAATCTCCCCACGGACGTCAGCGACCGCAGCGCAAACTGAAGATCGAACCCGCGTCTCGAACGCGGTCTCGCACTACCGTCCCAGCTTACCAATTTCGCTGCCTTCTCCGCCTCACGCGGGTGAAACGGTATCGTGCCGGGAACTCACCTCCACGTGCGGTGCGTGACAGTGGCCGTGCGTGACTGTTCCGTTGGCGTGACGGCCGTCATCGTGGTCGGTTCCAGGTGCGTGACTGCCGCCGCCCGTCACATGACCGCCGCCGCCAGTCACCGTGCCGAAAATGGTGGGCTGTAACGCAGAAGGTGACGGTCGTCAAAAGAGCGTGGGTTCAAGGCTGGGTACTGGCTGTTTTTCCGTGTTCTCACAATCGTGTGACACAGCGACGCTAAGCGACCTGAGAGGTTGAATGCGTCCGTCAACCGCCACATGTATTGGTCTGTCGCCTGCTGCTGAGGTTCAAACGAGGTACACACACGTCAAACGTATGTATACGCTTCAGGTGTACCTAACACCGCATTTTTTTTTTGGGGGGGGGGAATGCGACGCACATGGTCACGCCCCTTTTTGTTGAAACGTCAGTGACTGCCTCGTCAATATTAGCGCTCAGGGGCCGCGGAGAAACCGGGATTAAAACCCGGATTGCGCTCAGGGGCCATAGGGAAACCGGGATTAAACCCCGACCCTTGTGTGGAACTTCAGACCGCTGATCACTCGGCCATTTCTTCTCTCTACCACCGTATCACTGTGCCCTATCATATGTCACCACTGTGACGTGTGCGCCACTGCCACACGTCACAGGAGTCCGCTAAGTGGACACGACCGATGTGTGCCCTCGGGTCTTATTCACCTGTGCGTGACTGACTGAAGAACTGTCCATCCACTCTCAGACTAGATCCGCGCTTTCCCGAAGGTTACGTGTTTTTTATGTCAACGATTTTCTGCCTTGTTATCACTATCACGAAATCGAGTTCTCTTTCTGGGCGGTTTCCCATTCAGCTCGGCGGTTTTGTATTCATCGTCTGCATAAGGTGCCGAGGTTTACAATTTATACCTTTTTCTAGGGGACCCATTAGCCTTCGTTTTTGGCGTCTCAGCGGAGTAAAATGGCTATACATCTGTTGCCAGCTTACTCCCAAGGCGATCCAAGAAAGTCAACATCTAAAATCACGCCTGCTGCGAAGTAATAGATAGCACGCTTCATGCCAATACCTGTACAATTATCAACGTTATTCCAACTATCCGTTTTACCTTATATTTACTGCCCCACATTTAACTAGCGTGCATGGGTATTGAAGTGTACACAAAAAAGGAATATACTAACGACAGCTTTTAATGATCTGCAACGAATGATCTAATAACGACATGCATCTAATGATCAAACAGCTCCTCTAACTATCGACGTTTAAAAAATTCAGGCCCCAGTCAAATGCATCCAAAACACAAACAGAGCTATAATAAGCAGACAGCCAATACCTACCACGGTCATCTTATACCAGAGGTAGCCCAAAAGCAGCGGACACAATGCCAGCAGCCAGACAGCCATCTGGCAGCGTCGCTCCTTAGACGTCCATCTGGCAACTCCACTCCTCAGGCAGCCATCTGGCAGCGTCGCTCCTTAGCCATTCATCTGGCAACTCCACTACTCAGGCAGCCATCTGGCAGCTCCGTTCCTTAGACGTATATCACGGACTCCGAACGTTTGGATCACCCACAAACGACCCGTCTCACTGTGACATGCAGTCTGTCCATTCGCGGTTTCAGATCCGGATGCTCAGAACCGGATCCGAACCGGATCGCGTTTCCAGGCGTGAATGCTGCGATCGACGCGATACGGTTGGCTCAGGACACGCATATCCGAAGCGTGCTCACGAGGTTCGTCTGGCGGGCAGCTCAGTCCGTTCTGTCCGGATTCCACACCGTCAAACCGCTCTCCGGTCTTCAGAAGCTGCGCTGGCATGTGACATCGCTTCTTTACGCGGGCCGAAAACCGACTCGTCACAAACGTCTCAATGCCCTCTCCACCTCAGAATAGAACGTCTCGCTTCACTGCGGCGACGCACATCGGGGGTTAGCACCAGACTTCATTCAGCGACCTGTTCCGCCTCCCATCGCACTTGGGTCCCCATAGAGCTGGGGAATCCAGCCAGGCCTTGATCTCTCTGCAATACAATGATGCATCCATATGTCTTGGTATTGCTGTGAACGTCACCGGAAAGTGTGCCGTCTAGATTTGGCACATCTTCTCTGTGCTGTTATGCTCACGCAGGCTTCAGGTCTCTCAGGTCTCTCAGGCCTCCTGCCAAAACGCGAATTCCCGTCGTTTCACCGTCGTCCTACAGCAATGGTGTCTTCAATCGCGCCTGTTTCTTTCTTTGTGAGTGGGGGTACTATCCGTCTGCGGTGACTGCCACGTCAGGTCACGTCAAGCCACGCTACGTCATGGCACCAAAGGTCGCGTCAAATCACTTCAGGTCACGTCGGGTCGGGAAAGACCGGGTTTCGTCAGATCAGGTCGAGTCGTGTCGGGTCACGTCGCGATAGGTCACACCAGGCCAGGTCAGGCTCGGCCAGGTAAGATCAGTTCACTTCAGATCAGGTCAGGTCAGCTCAGGCGGCACCAAACCGGAAGTGTCAGCCGCTGCCGGCTGCGAGCCGTCAAATCCCGGAAGCGCGGGAGACGGCTGGCAGGGGAGGGGATGACGCGCCCACCTGGACGGGCTGGCCATAGCACCGCACTGCAGCGCACGCCGACAAGTGACGTCACAACGGGGCGGGTAGTGACGTCACCTCGGCAAAGGTGACGTCACGATGAGCCTGTGGCGCCACGCAAAACGCAGAAGCAGCCCTCAAGGCCCGCGCAGCGGGCTCGTAGACCAACGTATTCACCAGCACGCAGATTGGTTGTTTACCACGAGGACGGCGGTCAGAATAGCGAGCTGTTTCGCCGCTGAATAGGCACCGACGCCGACGCCGTCAAATCGTTACCAAACAGCGAGCCATACCAGCCTGATCACCCTGACTACCACGATCCCACATCAAAGCGCTCCTCACAAACACTACCGCGCATTGAGCGTCCACGAGCTGTTCTAAGTCTTCGCTAGAAATATTCCCGGACGCACCGCTGGGACTGACACCAAGTCGAGACGGCCGGCGAGTCGCGAGTCGCGACGGCCGGCGAGTCTCGAGTCGAGGCGGCCGGCGAGTCGCGAGTCGAGGCGGCCCGCGAGTCGCGAGTCGAGGCGGCCGGCGAGTCGCGAGTCGAGACGGCCAGCGAGTCGCGAGTCGAGACGCCCGGCGAGTCCCGAGTCGAGACGGCCGGCCATTCGCGAGTCGCGGGCGTCGTCGTCGGGCGTCGTGAGCCTGCTCCGTCGCTCTGTGCCGGCGGCCCGAGCCTCGACGACGGCGCGATATGCCTCGGCCGGCCGTCGGCAACAGCAGTACGAGCAGGGTTCGACCGCCCCTGGGGCGCGTGGCGATCACCGGCGCGAAAACGCCGCCGGCCGGATCTGTCGACGCTGACAAGCTAGTTACCGGGGCCGGCGAGCGAGCGAGGAAAGTCAGTGTCTCGAAGGGCAGTCGCGCCGCTGGATCTCGTGACGAGTGGCACGAGCGTCAGTGATCATGACGCGCCTTCTGCGCCGCGTGCGTCATGAGGTCTCGGGGCGCGTTCACCATCGCTTCACGCACGGCTGATACGCGCCGCTGATATTGGCGTTGGCGTCTCCCCCACGCAAGCGTCATCGGAGAAGAGAATCATCCCGACGAGATGGGCCGGCGGATTGATCCGGGATTTTTGCGCTGATGAAAGCTCGACGAAAAGACCTCAGCCACTCCACTCAGCAATGCCGCGCGGCGTCGTCGCCGGCCAACCCGCTGCCGTAGATCCGTTCGTGACAGCGCACCAACGTATCTCGGTACGCTCGCCACCACCCGTCAACGAGGATCCCTTCGTCAACGCAGATTCGTCGTCACTTTGGGGTCCATTGGCTGTGGCGGATCCATTTCTCACCACAAATTCACCATCACTCGAAATTAGTTCGCCATGGTTGATCGCTTCGCGGCTGTCTTCGCAATCGCTCACTTCGCAATCGCTCGATTCGCAATAGCTCTGGCAGCGACGAGCGCTCCGAGGGACACGGGACCACGCAGTGCGAGACTCGCGGTGCACTGCACTTCGGCCGGGCCATAGGCAGAGGCGCCCCCAGGCACCGACCTGGGGCGCACGCCCACGACACGCCCAGTTTCCGCGCACGAACTGCAGGGGGTGGGGGGTTGGGGGGTGCGGGGGTGGGGGTGGGGGTCAGGTTTCATAGACGAGCGCCGCCGCGCTCCAGTGAGCATGATGACAAAGCGCATGTCAAACGGAATGGAAAACTACCTCGCCTCTTTGAACATGGTCAATTGCAGCTGAATTCACGCACGAAGTGAAATTCGCCGCACATTTCAAATAGTTTCCATGCAAAGCGGGCGGCGGCATTGCCAGACAGAAGCTGTTTGTCAGACGCCACCGCGGCGGGCGCCGACTTCAGTCTGCCGTCAGACTCTTTCGACATCAAACGGCCAGCAGACTCCGCCAGCGGCATACAAACGGTCGACGCCGCGTTGCGTGCGCCTCACGCGGAGGGCCTGCCTCCGCCTCTGCGCCCGAAATAGCCCCGGGCTAAACACACGGTCGGCGGCGATATGCGCGAGCAAATCGCCGGTGTTTATGCCGGGAATAGGTATACCTCTGCCCGGATGGACGGGTGCAGTTCACCGCACAGGGAACGCCTTGGGGAGTACACCGGGAGTAGGTGTACCTCTGCCCGGACGGACGGGTGTAGTTCACTCTACAGAGAACGCCCTAGGGGGTACACCGAGAGTACGTGTACCTCTCCTGAGCGGGTGTAGTTTACCGTGCAGAGCATACCGGGGAGAATTCAGGGGATAGTTCTCCTATCTAACTCTTCCAGGCGGGTGAAGTCCATCGCGCAGACAGGTGAGGGGGCTGGGGGGAAGGGGAGAGGGGGGGTATACACAGGAAGAAGCTGTACCTCTCCCACGCGCGAGTGGTCAACCAGGCAGAAACACCCCGAGAAAAACATCGGGAGTGGCTGTACCTCTTCCGTGAGGGCGCTTCATTCCATTACGCAGAGGATCCTCCGAGGAATATCATTTATACTCTTACAAACCTATACTCCGAGGAGTATCACTCATACTCTTATACACTTATACTCCGAGGAGTATAAATGAGTGCACCCATTCTCCACAGAGCAGTTCACCGCGCAAAGATCACCCTGGAAGAGTAC